GTATGGCAAGATTTCTCAACCGCAAGGTGCTCATAGTAGATCTTAAGTAATTCTTGATCAGTTTTAGTTTCGAAAAACTCCTCTCACAGGTAGCAACACTAACAGCAATTGTGAGGAAAATCCTCAGCATTATTACTATATTTGGAACCGAGTTCCCAAGGTTATACTTTTGAATAAACTGCAAAAGTTCAAGGGGGCCTTCTTTCCACGTCTGTTTTCTGTCTTTAATAGTTATAGCAGCAACAGCAACAAAATGCTGAAGTCTTTTTCTCTCAACGAGGAACTCCTCTTTATCAATGTCGTCGTGATCGTGATCTATTTGACACTCATATTTATCATCCAAAAGATTCAATGGGGTAAGGAAGGCATATTTCTCAGCAAGTTCATGAAGCTGTTGAAATCTCAGTTATTTCTTGGATCACTCTGTCCAGCGAAGAAAACATTTCTCTCCTCAATTCAATGTCGTATGGCAATTCAGCATCTCGTGATCCTTCACCAAACATTCGTTTCTTCTTTTTGGGTCGACGCTGACGCTCCATGACTATCCCCAGATCATTGCAAATTTCTTTGGCATAGTTAACTCCATTACTCACTAGCTTGTCCCTGTTTTCAACTAGAAATGTTTCTAATGCCCTGAGTTCTATATCACATTGTTATATGTTCAAGCCCTTGGTTTGGAGGTAAGACTGTGTGTCGTTAATTTCTAGAAGGACGGGTCCCCACAGGCCAAGAAAGTATTAAACGAAAGTACTTGCTGCTTGTCTTTCCTTTCTCCAGTGGTTATTGTGCATCTATTCTTCATGGTGATGTGAAGTTTCTGCATATATATATATATATATATATATATATATATATATATATATATATATATATATATATTATTTAGGTTAGGTTAGGAAACCGTTACATAAAACAATTGTACTGCACCGTTATCTTTTATTGAGTATGATCTAAAATCACGGTATAATGACACTCACACTAGTGTCATTATCATCTAAAACGATTAAAATCACAGCAATGTAAAAATAACAGCTTGATCTAAAATCACGGTATAATGACACTAGCATCTATGTAATACAATGGAAATGTAAAAAGTAGCAACTTAATCTAAAATTACAGACTCAGAGTACAGTGAAAATGGATGTCCGACATAAGCCCCCCCGACGAAAGCCACCCAGACAAAAGCCCCTACTTTGATCGGGGTGGCTTTGTCTAACAACTAACCTAACCAATAATTAACCAAGAAGAACAGTATATTTTACCCTCAACTATTTAATTATGTCCGTAACTTTTGAAAGCCCTTACTGTTGTCAGACAAGCCACCCCGATCAAAATAGGGCTTTCTGGGTGGCTTCGTCTGAGATGCTTATCGTCGTCTGACCTAACACCTGACCCACACCACATGAGCTCACTGGCGTACTTGTTTGAAGTTGTTTCCTTAATCCTCAACAGGTTACAGGTTGTGTGTGGCGGGGGTGGGGGCCCGCATAGCAAGGGTGTAGCTCATGACGTGGCCGTGACGATGAGGGTCAGGTGTTAGGTCAAGACACAAGGATTAACTTGCCGCCGATACAAAGGGAAGGATTAACGTCTCCATTAGCTGCAGATATGGGTGATGAGCAGACCCAAAAGTGCGCCCCCCCCCCCCTAGCTACGCTAGTGTGTCCACTGTAAAAAGACTTGAGACTTTCACTGTTAAGACCATACACACTATGGTAAATCGTTCACAGGACCACCCCCGTGAAAAAGAAACTCATTACATTAGATTTTAAAGCATATAAACAAATCCCGCCAAAACATGTTACTCCGATCCTGACTGGTGTCGACACACAAGGCCAAAACACCCATAAAATAACTTCGAGCTTTATTAAACATATCCTCTAAGTTAATGGTATTATAATAATCATACATACCTGCATCAGCAATTTTCCAATCGCTAATGCGATAATTGTCCATAATTAGGAGCTTGTCACGCAGGTTTGTTTACAAACGTATGGGTCTGACAGGCACGGACAGTGAGTTGCGATGTGCGCAATGAATTCTTTTATTGTTAATAAACCGAGTTAATGGCTTTTACATAATGATTAATCACTTCTAAAATATATTTAAACGTTAGAAATTTTAATTGGAGTTGGTAATTTTTTATATTTTATTTAAAATTTTACAATTTAATCTACAATAGTATACATAATTGCATACATTTGTCCGTGAAAAATTTGCATGATTTTTTTCAAAATACACTTGATCATCCATTTATTATAATATATCCAGCTTTTTAATAAAGACTGGACTCCTTAACATAATAAATTTCCTTCAGAGTCGGTGGTACGATGAAATGGTTGGGTTTTTCACTAATATGTCCTGGGTTCGTGTCCCACCTCGATACTAACACAAGACAAATAAGAAAGTAATAAAGAAAGATACCAACCGTCTGAACGGAGTACCATCCTCTATCTGAGGGTTGGCAAACAGTCCTCTACTCAAACAATTTTGGGTCATTTCATCCATCCCCCAGTTATGCCTTCACCCGATCCTCCCTACCCTAAACTTCACCAATGATTATCCCTTATCCGTAATTAAATGACCACAGCTACTTTTTTATTGTACACTTTAAGTAGTACTTTTCTACAAGTTATTGCTAACCTTACTACTTCATTTGCTTTTCAGAGTCGTTAACCCGTTCGTAAAGAACGCCGCTTCAAAGGCCTCTTACCTTACGCTGCATGGTAAATATTATAAACGCGATTAAGCAGCGTGTCTGCAGGATAGTGAGAACCAAAGCTTTTCATAGCACATATGGAGGTGTCAAATAACTAGCTGAAAATTTACAGTACAACATCCTTCCCAAAAGGGGTTTTAATTGGCCAGACAATTTTTTCTTTCATCATTAAATTCCGGCCCGATTTTGTTTTTCAATGTGGTAAACGAGGAGTGCTTCGTGTACTAGTAGCATAGGGAAGCTCCCAACTAACGTGTCTCACGCATAGCAAAACTCAACATCCACTGCTGGACTCCAAATCAGTTTTTATCACTTCTCCAATGTGGTAATACTTGTTTCGTGCAAATTACTTTTTAAGAAGTAGCAATAACCGCAATCCGTGTTTATCGTTTGCCATTAAGTAATGCGGTAGTTGAACGGACTATACTACAAATATGAAGTGTAATATACAAAATATACTGTGCGCTCAACCATTTATCAGAATAAAAACGAGACCACTTCAATAACTATTGCAAGCATTTCAAAATTACTGTGCTTGTTTAATAACATGTATGCAACATATACAAGCTGACGATATCAATAGGCCGTCAACTTCATAATTATGCGCAACAAGAAATGTTTAGTAATGTTCCAGACGACTCAAGTGTGATTGTGAATATTAACAAGTCAGGGTGATGCAACTAAACTCTGGTACTACAGGAGACTGAAGCCGCTATATCAGGTTATCAAGGTTTCGATTGAAAAAATTATAAAACGAAGATGAAATAATGCAGTCTGGGTTTGCTAGGTAATGAGACGGACTTTGGCCAGGCAGCTACAGGACTAGCATCAAGGGAGAAATTTGAACATGGATATTTACTGTGAAAAGAAAACATACCGCAATTAGCAATCTAGGAGTCGAGAAGAGAAACGGGTTAGGCGTTAGTGGTTATTATGAAGGCTCAAAACCATAGCAAAAATATGCTAGGAATTTCAAAGTTAAAGTAATCCATCATGGTTCTGCCTTGTACCTCCTTCCATAGATCATATAGCGGTACTTAAGGACTCGCCTGCCCCTTAACAGTTTTTGTACAGTTTACTGGAAAGTTACGATTGCCAATATAATAAATAACGTTGAGGAAATGAGATATAATTGACGGCAAGAGGACCTTCCCTCAGAGTGAACGGAAGTATGACTATACAAGCAGTGAAATCTGGGCAGTTAAAGATGATAATGGTAAAGTGGATACAGAATGTGACAGACAGGAGTCCCCATTCAAAGGCAAGAGGGCAGCTGGGTATCTATAGTACAGTATAGGCCAAGTCCTCCATAGAAGCAGGAAAAGATGCTTTGAGCATGTGGAAAGACAAATTGAGACGAGGAGCACGAGAGCCTAAAGGTGGAGGGAAGGCGACACAGGGGTAGGGCAAATATAACAGTGAGGGCACAACCAAGAGATGAAGTGGGAACCTGCCATCAGGTAACAGCTACACTAAGCCGTGGAAAATGGCATAAAATAGATAAATTTGACAAGTACCTATAAAAAAAAGTTTAAACTATAAACACAGTACAGTATTATTACACCATTATTGGCTTTAGAAACAAACATACTAAATCTGGAAAACCACAGATAGAACTCTAGGCTTCCAATGCCCAAGCATATTGCTCACACCAACTTTCTCCATGCAGAGCAAGATTAAAACCATATACATCCACTTCTGGAGCAATCTTGAAGATACTGTACCGTGATATATACTCTACTTTAAAAATTAATAGTTCATAAATTACTATTAAAATAATTTACACCATAACTACAAGAAAAAAATATTGTACTAAAAATGTGATTGACTTGTTTATTTACAACACTAGGTGGTCCAGAGGCTAAAGCTATGCTTAGAAAAAGCAAGACCCATGACAGCCCACTGGAGTATTGGTGTCAGCAATAATTACTGGCATAACCTTCTGCTAGACTAGCTCTGAACACCATTCAATAACACTACCAATCCTCCTTATCCGTTTCCCTTCAGCTTCATTTGGAGACAATAACTGCCATACTTTACTTGGCCCTTCAATACATTGTATTTGATACTGTATTCAACAAACAACTGATTATACAAATATAAATTTCATCAAAACAGCTCCCAAAAATTCTCTTGACATTAAAGGTTTGGGGCACCTGCCAACAAGTCAAATTTCCATGCCAGTACATAGTTGCTCTATTTCCTAAAACAATGTGCCAGTCATTTTAATAATATGATAATCTAATATTAATGTCAGGTACTGCAATAGTAAAACTCCCTGCCAAATTAATTGCTTTTATTATTGCATTCCCTAAGCGAGTTGTCTTCTGGTAACCAGCTCCTTTCACCCCATCCTCCCGAGTTCTGCGTTTTCTTAAGCTGAAACAGAAACGGGGACAATTAAAGGTACAGTACACCCAAAAATAGATTACCATGCAAGAAAACTACTGAAGTAATATTTAAAATAACCACTTTTCTCATTTTGAAGGCAAGAGTAACCAAAGGCTTTTATATTTATATTCGAAAAATTACAATTCATCAATCTATTTATCACCTTAGGAGATAATTTCAGGACCATACTGTATTTCATTAGTCCATTTGCATATGCCTATACAAGGTAGCAAGTGTAAGTTCAGATACACAAGTATTATATAAACAAAGAATTCTTTTTTAGCCCTCCAACAGCCCATCTATACAAGACTTCATATAATAGATATCTCATTGCCAACTTTACCATGAACAAATTCCTCCGTGTGTAAGTGCATTCGGTCACCCTTCCACCTTGTCCTCATTTCTTTATCACAATCTTACTTGCTCTTCCCTTTAGGAACACCTTTCCAAGAGCAAAAAGGCAATAATGCTCTTCAAAACTGACAATGTAGTGAAAATAATCTTACCTGTTTCAAATTCAGCAATCACTTCCTCCACGAGTAACTATAAAGAAAAAAAACATTTTAACTTATGTCATACATAAAATACCAAATACAATGGTAAAAAACTTCAGACAGAAAGTGCTCGACAGCAGTGATAAGTGACGCCCATCTTCAGGAGACTCATCCTACAGTCATCATGAAAAATAAATATTCAACATACATGGATTTTGGGGAACAAATACCAAATTTGAATATTCATGAGAATTCTAGTTATGGCCACTACCTAAATCAGAACTCTCTGCCTTCATCAAAAAGAAGGAGCACAAAAAGGCACTACCACATTATACACAACTTCGTTGTCATCCGAGTAATAACTCGGACAACATTGGCTGTCCTCGGGTCTTCAGCTTTATTACCATTGAGGAGTAGAATTTCGTTTTACATTCAAACATTATTAAAACATAAGTACAGTAATAAGCAATGCTTGCATATTACATAGAGAAAAGGCGCGGTTTACATGTAAAGTACACATGTTGTCCGTCTCGCACCTTTTTACTTTGCCACTAGTGGTTACCTTTACTGATGTTTATATTACAGGTTGACAACCCTTAATCCGAAAAGCTCTAAAAACCGAAAGTTTTTTGGGGGGGCTGTTTTTGATTTTTTACAGGGAGTATTAGCCCACCCGGGCTCAGATCGCTGACCCACATCGGGGCCTGGAGGGAACGTAATAGTAATAATAATTATGATAATTATTCATAGTAAATAAATTTTTTAATACACAAAATAAAATAATAATGATTACAATAATAATAAAATTAATAATAATAATGCTGTAATAATAAAATACAGTAAAGAAATACAAGAATGAAAAAAAGATCAAAGTGATCTATGCCCGTCGTGGGCTAATACACATTTAAAAAAAAACCTAACCATTCTCAAAACCGAAATGCCTCTGGCCCCAAGGATTTTCAACCTGTACTAGTGACTTATATTGTTAATTTTGCATACAAACATTAATTTAATCATATACAGGTTGTACCTCTAGTCCGGCAACCTCGGGACCAGACCGGTGCCGGACCATGGAAATTCACCCTTTTCCTGGTTAGATAGTGACTTGTGCTTAAGCCTGGAAGCACTAGCACCACTTTCTCTGCGTCATGGTCTCTTTGAAGACATATTGAAGGGTTAAATGTCGTATAGTAGCTTCTCAAATTTCGCGAGTTTTTAATTCTTAACGCATTTTATTGGAATACACAAAAAATAAATAAATAAAATTTTGGCGTGGAAACTTGAATTTCGACGGGTTTTGACGGCCCGCTCAACGTGCAGACGGCGTGCATAATCGTGTAAACAGGGTCATTTCTCTTATGTACAAAAGATTCATTATTGTTTATTACTGAATGTCTTTTTTATTGAATTAATGTTTATATGTGCAAAATGAGCAATACAATTCATTAATAACCGTAGAACATTAAACACATGAGAAATGACAGCATTGTTTTAGTTGATTACAAAACCAGTGACTGGTTCTACATATAAAACTGAAGAAAATAAGACCTTAGTTGTAGCTGTAGTAAAATTAATATGGTTGTTTAAAGTAATGTTATTTAATGTTAATAAATGGAACAATAGAAGTAGCTACGATAATGGTAAAAAGAAAAGTCGCATATGTAAGTGCATGCTGCGATGGCATATATCGTCATTACTTTACATAATATGAAAGCAACACTTATTTACTGTTCATATATATTTTAATTAATGTTTCTGAATTTGTTTTATTGAATTAATGTCGTGTGCAATTAACAATACAATTTATTAATAATACGTTGGAATATTATGTTAAAGCTTCTGAAACCAGTGACTGATTGGTTCTACATATAAAACTGAAGAAAATAAGACCCTGAGTTTAGCTGTAGTAAAATTAATGTAAAGAATGAATATGGTTGCTTGAAGTACCTGTAATGTTATTTAATGTTAATAAATGGAACAATACAAGTAGCTAACCATTAATGGTAAAAACAGACTGCTCGTATGTAAGGCGCACATGTGAAAATATATCGTCATTACTCTACATAAGAATATGAAAGCTACACTTATTTACTGCTCATATTTATAGAAGGGTTAAATGTTGTACTCTGTATAGACAAGCAGAGGGAAGAGAGAGAGCAGCCGAACTGCGGGATGTAAACAAACCTTAATTTCAGCGGCTTTTTTGGGATTAGCCCACCCAGGCATAGGTCACTGACCCACATTGGGGCCTGAGGGGCAAAAATTTAATACTCCTGTAATAATAATAATAATAATAATAATAATTCAGATAAAAAAAGGGGGGGGGGCTGCCTATCTACCTATTGGACAAACTAGAATCGTTCCGGACCACGGGAGTTTCCGGACCACAGAATGCCGGACTAGAGGTACAACCTGTACTTGCATAGACATTTTGAAATATATGTATTCTTAAGTCAAGATATGTTTTTGTATTCAATCATACCCTGGGCCCCCACCCAGTCGAGTTCTTTATCACTAATCTGTGGCGAATTATATTTAACAAGTTGCATTAATTAACATTAATGTTTTTATTTTCCAATAATTTTAATGTTTTAAGGAACAAGGGGGTAAAATGCAACAAAAGTTGTAAAAAGGTGAAACTAAGGAACATGTAGCTTTATTTTAATGGTAATTAAGGATTCATAATACAACAATTTGCCTTGTACAGCAATATTGGAGGACATTACCATCTTAACTCGCAGCTTTACTGTAGTCCCTTTCATGTTTAAGAGTTTTGAGCTATCTTTAAATATTTGCCAAGTAGATGCAATATTTTTTAAATTTCATTTTACTTTCGAAGTGGTAAGATATTTTTACATATTCATTTTATATACTAGTGCAGTACATGCTTTTAGGCAACTGGTTTCTTTCTCAGGTGGACTTCAACTCTGAAAAACAATGCATTTCATTCAAACCCACTTGTTTTAAGTTTCATGAAATATGGAATAATAGTGAATCCTGCCCTAGGGATGCATTTCTGGACACAAAATTTACTGGCTTAGAACTTAAGTACAAAATAATTAAATAGAATACTTGCCTCAAATATCTTCATGGTGAAGGTGACCACTTGTAACTGGAAAAGAAATACTCCATTTTAATTTTTTACATCTTTAAATTTATCACTATTATTAGTTTCAGCTCAGAAAGACTAATTACAATCGTCAAATACTGTAGTTACGATAGGGGCGAAATTTGTCATCATATTGGTTTACAGAAACAAAGCAATTTATCAACATGTTACCAGTCCAAATATTATACCATTAATTTCACCATCACACCCTATTCAGTCAAAATTGGACCTCCTAATTTTGCCATTACTCGTTAATAATGAAATTAACCTTAAACTAACTGAGCAATTCAAAACAATTTAATCTACCACTGTACAAACTGACAAATACTAACTTCCCCCACCTTCCACATGATCTCTGCAAGCAAGTTGAAGAATCCACATTACTGGCATCTAGGTAGCCTGAAAGAAAACGGTCAGATGTCAAAACATTATCACTGGATCATTCGAGGCAATACATATACTGCACAGTAAAACAAATTCATTATTCGTCAAATTGCAAGAATTCTGCCTTTTTCTTATATTACAAACGTTTTTCATAATATACAATAAAACCATTCCACCATGTGGTGGCGGATTCTGTGGTAATTTTTTTTTTTGCTTATAGGCTAATCACACCAAGTTTTACCTTTACAGCTTATTCAATCTTTTTGGACAAAACCTGTGCTACCCAGGACAGGATCACAAAAATATATATTTTTTAGTGTGAGCTTTTACAGGGTCCTTTATCTACCCAACAAACTTGCCCAACAGAAGTACAATCAACTTAGGAAGGGGGATATGTGGGTATACTGGCACAAGTCAATAAACAAGACTTACAATTGTCCTGTTAGAAATATCAAGAATGCAGCATGTCCAATTATTTGATTCCATACCAAATCCCCAGAAACATATCCACAAACCCACTCTCGGTAAAAACTATTGTATACTATGCTGTGTTGTGTTACATTAAACATTCTAAGAATGGTGATGGCTTGTCACTTTAAATAACAAGCATTTCATTTATAATTCCTACCTTATATGAAAAAGTATTACAAGGATCACATCAGGTGGAAATATGCATTTCTAAGTCACCAATACAAAGTATTATCCTATTCATAAAGGTGACCCAACTGTTAAGTTTCAAGAATCAAAAGCCAAGTTTATGGTATACTAGTTCGCGTAAGTCCTAAATCTTAGTACAGTACGAACATGGGTGGGTCCGAAGCATGAACAGATGAAGAAAATCTATCCGAGGACAAGCCAGATTTCCAAGACCTGCTTTCCAGTCAGTTCAACAAAAGTTAAGATACTAAATTTAAAATCTACCAAAGCGAAGGAGTACAATGCTGTACTTCAAATACATTCCTTAGAAATATACAAGTGCCTATATTTCAAAACAAGAATAGATTTCAATTGCAAATGTAGGTGCATCTGCTTTGGTTTTAGAAATTTGAAAATGGTGCATCCCTAGGCTCAAACCTCATCAGAAAGTAATCACTCAAATTAATTATCAATGTACCTGTACAGTACTTCCACTGACTTCTCTAAAACCCAATAGATTCATAGTCCAGGTAATATTAGGGTTAAGATACAGTACTGTATCTAAGTCTTGTGTGAATACTACTCTTTTTAGTCTGTTCTATAGGTAGATATTCTTATTCTTAATAACCATTAAGCATTGTCATGGGGCATACAGACATGCCAACCCCCTTCCCAAATAAGATGTTGTGAACACTATACAGTAACACATTCCTATGTTCATAAAATTCCAAATACTTGGCAAAATAGAGCCAGTCACAGTTGCACATTGACAAAAGCCATGTGTGAAATGTAGTCTATACCAGAAGAGCAGGACAAGCAACGACTACTCAATTCTCAAAACTTCAAGAGATTTTGACAGCCTATGGATAATTTTTTTTTGCCATTGCCACAAAAACTCAAGGCAAATTTTTTACGATTGCAACAAA